CCCCCCCGATATCGTTACAGAAAGCGAGGAAGAGGAGCGCGCGCGCCGAGTGAAAGCTTTCCAGCTCGTAAGAGAGAAAGCGGAGCACGTCGTGGCGGCCGTTGACGGTTGAAGAAGGAAGAGGAGAGTACGGGGGTGCGAAGGGAGGGGGTTAAAAACGAATTAAAACTCGATGTCTGTCAATAATTCCGCGATGCGAAATTATCTATCATTGCGATGCAGCGCGTGAAAACATCCATTAACGCTGATTCCCTCTGAAAAACACGCGCGCGCGCACCTTATCGTTATTATCCGCGATGGCGTCGCGAGACTAGACTCCCCAGCTTCGTGTCTCGCCGATAAGAAGGCTGGACGGTTACGATCGATTGGATCGATAACGATTCGATCTACGATCGATATCGACACGCCGATTCGTTTCGTCGCGATTAAACCAGCCTTCCACCCAGTCGAATCTAATCGGAAAGAAAAAGTTTATTGACGCGGATTTATTGTGACCGATACAAGTAGCCGGCACATGTGTCGAAGAGAGGGAGAGAGAGAGAGAGAGGATCATCGGCTCTCTTTGTACCTCAAAGACTCGGATGGACTCGGATGAACTTTGTGGATCGAAACACTATTCTTAGTCCGAGAATATCTTGGAATGGCTCGAGATGCGCTTAACGCAATATCTTTACTGATATTTCCCTTGTATTCGTGGTCAATTAACGCTTTATTAATGATGGTTCAGCGAAGAGCGACATGTGCACGATTAGATCAACGACCGGCCGTAAATCATAATCGTAATCATTGTTGTTACTTCGTCCAAAATTGTACACGTTACATGTGGCGTGGTCGGTTTCAAGATACGGCGAAGATGTAGATAGAAAAAAATTTACCTCGCTCGATACACTTCATTCGCCTATCATCATCTCCTGTACATAACTCTCTCGAAACACGTTCAAAATTTCAATCTTGGTGAAAATTCATCGAATTTTTCAGAGATCGAACTAATATCTTCTCAGATCATTCTAATTCAAACATAATCATAATAGAACGTTCTGATGGAAAATTCAAATAGAAAAAAGAGTCGAGTTTTCAGTCGACTCCGCGCGAACTCGAGTCTCTCGAGTCTCCCGATGCGCGGTGGCAGTCAGTGCGTGAAGTTTCTCTTCCGTTATCTATCCCGCCATCGTCTTTTGTGTGTCACGCGAGTGCCACANTTCCTGCCGCATACTTTTTCCCCGTCGGTTGCGCGGAACGCGCGACGGGGAACACGACGGGGAGTGGAGTGTGCCGCTCCTCGACAAACAGGGCTGATGAGGAGAGGAGAGGAGAGGAGAGGAGAGGAGAGGAGGTCGCGGACGATCGAATCGACAGGAGGCCAGCCTCGTTGGTTAGGTCGCATCCGCGTGCCCACCTGTTGACATCGTGGCCGAGGAGGTGAATCGAGAGTGGCCGTCGGGGTGAGGGGAGGGACGTAACGGTTGTAGTAGTAACGCAAGAGCGAGCGAGCGAGAGAGAGAGAGAGAAAGAGAGAGAGCGTGTACGTTGGTGCAAGGGTGCTCGTTCATTATCTGCCACGGTGGAAGGCCCTGAAAGCCGCCGGTTGAAAGGCCAAAAAAGAGCCACATCCCGCCATTACAAAAAGCAGCTTCCTGCCTAGGCGCTGATATTGGCGCTTGCTTTCTTTCTCCTTCCTCGCTCCCTACTTTTCGCACTTTTTTTTTGACCTCCTTTCTTCGTAATGGAAAGAAGGAAGGAAGGAAGGAGGAATTTCTTAAACTTAAGATCATCGAGCTTCGATCGTGAATAAATTCGATCCGGAAGAACGAAGGGATTTTTTTCTTTTTTTTAAATTCTTAGCTCTCCTTTATTCGATGTATTCAAAGCTGGCTACGAATATTTAAGCAGCGAGGAAGAAACCGTATCGATACTCGATCGAATGGCGGATCCGAAGAGCGATAGAAAAGAATCGTGTTCGAGGGATGATGCAATGTACGGTTAACAAGATTAAGAGAGTGGAAGGAATTGTCCGATAAAGCGAAAGACATTTTTTTTTCTTTTCTAAGATTTATCTAGTTGAAAATAAAGTTGATTCGAGAGACGAATCGAATTATACATTTATGAGAGAAGGAGAAGGGAAAATAATCTTTTATCGCACGTGCTCTTTTTTTTTCGTGTATCTTTCGTTGTTTCAACGGGCGTACGCTCGTTGCAATTGTTGCGAGGATAAAAAGCAAGAGGAAAACTTTGCGACTCTTGAGGCGCAATAATGGCCGCAATTACGACGTCCGAAGGCCACCTTCCGGGATAAAAGGCGGCCAAGCTCGAAGCTACCGAAAAAAGATATCGGCTTATCGCGGGCACAGATTGCTGTTGAGAAACGTGTGCATGCCGATAAGTCGTGATCTCTGGCGCGTCGTGTTGCTTGCAAACGCGAGGCACATCGCGACGAAAGTGATAATGCCCGATAGGAACGATACCACTCTTCCCAATATCGTTGAAAATTTTCGTCAGATGGCAAAATAGAAAATAATAATAATAATAATAATAATAATAATAATAATAATAATGAAAAGAAGAAGAAGAAAAAAACAGCGAGAAAGAGAGAGAGAGAGAAACTCTCTTATATAGAAGAGAGAAAGATAAATTAATTATTTTTCCACTTTATCGAATACGCGGTTTATCTTCGATGCAACGTATCTCCTCGCGATAAAAGGGCAAATGATTATATGTGAGAAGATGATTAAAATTTCGTTTTCAATCTCGGTCGTGTAAATTTGTTGACGATCTCTCCTCCGGTTATCGCGGTCTCGTCCAGATTTCTCGCGCTGTTCTACGCAGAAGGACGTGAAATAAACGGGCACGAGGCACGGGGTAGGGGAGGAAACGAGATGACGAAACGTCGTTCCAAACTGGCGATCTCTCAGCCTCCCGACGTCTGTTCAAAGGATGAACGTTATCGAGCCGGCCGATAACACGTCGCTCATCGAAGTTTCCGAGGGAATCTTTCGTTTTCTCTCTCTCCCTACTCTCTCTTTCTCTCTCTCTCTCTCTCTCGCCTCCCTTCAGAGAGTGGCTGGACCCTTTCTCGTTCGATCTTTCCCCGATCGAAAATATCGATCGTCGTCACGAGATTTCGATCGGTCGCGTGCGATTTCGGCGCGCCGTTGCAGG